ATGGAAATATCACATTAATAAGGGTAGGGTTACACTGCCGATTAATGTGATTCCTGTCAATAAGTTGTACCTCTTTGAAAAGTTGAATTGGCAAAGGTTGTGTGATAGATATATTTACAGTAACAAAAAACAAACAAAAAAGAGTAACTGCTGAGACTGCTTATATACAGCCAAACACCTCTTGGGATTTAGTTCCTTGGTTTGGAGGTTTAGTGCCATGGTTTTATAAGATATCTCTCTTAGTTGGCCTAATATTGTATTTAGTGCTTCTGTTCTACTTCCTAGTTTGTTGCATAGTGCCTGGGGTCTTAAATGCTTGCAAGTGACCAACCAAGGTACAACAGTTGGTCTCTGTTCACCTGGAATAAAGAGGAAGGAGAGTCAAGAATAGGAGAAGGAAATGGAATGTGTGGCTAATTGCCTCTGTGTCCAACTCTCTCCTTTGCAATGAGATCAGAAAAACTGAATGGTGCCCGGCTGCCATTACTGAACATTTTGATAAAAGATTTTATAGAAGAATCCTGATCAAATGGGGAAATGCAAAACAGAATTTCAGATTATCATGGAATCCTGATTTCTGGAGCAATGGAGGCTGGATGACCCCTGAAAGTATTGCCCTGAGATAATCTTTAAACTTTAAACCAAAAATATCCCCTAAAGTCTTCTTAAAACCAAACAGTAGTTTAGCTTAACTAGTAAAGAATAGCTGTGTTGGGTACTGTGCTCTTTTAAGATCTTTTTATATGGGATCGAATTGAAAACACCAACTTGAAAGTTTAGAGAGGAAGTTTAGGGGACAATGAGTTTATGTTAATGGAGGAGGAACAGCTTGGAAAAGAAGGGTGAGAGTGGTTGTACAACTCGAAGAATATAATCAGTGTCACCGAATTGTACATGTAGAAATTGTTGAATTGGTGTATGTTCTGCTGTTTATGTTCTCAACAACAATAAGAAAAAATAAAATAAATTACATAAAAATAAAAGACCAACGACACTGAACTTTGGCAAGACTGTGAAACGATGGAAACTCATGTACTGCTGATAGGGGTGTATGTAATAAACAGTACACTCACTTTATTAAAGGCTTGACTATTTCTTAGAAAGTTAAACACGCATCTGTCCTTTGACCCAGCAAGTCTATTTCTCAGTGTTAGTAGGATAATGGAGAATTCATACAATGGAGTTTTATTCATCAATAGGAATAATGGAACTACTGATATAGGGAAATAATGGAACTACTGGTATAGGCAGGATGAATCTGAAAGACATTCTCCTTGAAAGAAATCAGACACAAGAGCACGTGGTACATGATTTTAGTTAATACAAAGTTCTAGATCAGACAAAACTAATCTATGGTGAAACAAATTAGAGCCGTGGTTGGGAAGGGTCCAAGAATTGACTGGAAGGTCCATGAGGGAACTTTCTGTAGAGATAGTAAGGTTCTAGATCATGATAGAGGTGTAGTTTACAAGGTATACCCATTTGTGAGAATTGTGTAGCTAGGGTAAGTGCATTTCAACATATGTAAATTTAATCGAAAGTAAAGAATTGTAAAAAATACTTGAATGTGAGGGGGTGGGAAGTGGGTGGAAGTATAGATGAAATAAGAATGATGGAATGTGGATAAATGTTAAAGCAGGGTAATGGGTTCATTTTATACTATTGCGTTTACTTTGTGCATATTTGAAATTTTTTTATAATTGAAGGCTAAACAAAATCCATACAAGCACGTACAGTTTTTCCCTTTATTTACTATAGTGGGTTGATTATCGTGTTAATTTATTAGTAAAATCCAGTTATTTAAATATAAGATGTATAGAGGGGGAAAAAAAAAACCCAAACCACACCGGTTGCCATTGACTCATGGCAACCTTATGTGTTTCAGAGTAGGACTGTGCTCCATAGGGTTTTCAATGGCTGTGACCTTTGAAAGTAGATTGCCAGGCCTTCCTTTGTGACATCTCTGATTGGACTAGACCTACCAACCTTTTAGTTAGTAGCTCAACTGAACCATTTGCACCACCCAGGTACTTCAAGATTAGACAGAAATAGGAAATATCTCTCTTATTCCACTTTAGGTTGGAAGTTCAACTGTATTAAAATCTTTCCTGCCTCAAATTTAACAGTAGTGTTACAGTAGAAGAATTAACAGAAACATTTGGTATAGCTAAGTTCCTGCAGTGATTGGTGCTGTTTTTTATAAATATTGTACAGAATATGATTGATGGCACAAATTTAAATTTAAGCCATTAGAGTTCTATCAACCTGAGTCTAATCCCTGATGTGAAGCAAAGCCATCTCATCTTCAACCAGGGAATTCACAAGATGATTTAAAGTCTTTGTGCCTGCAGCCAGCGTCTGTTAACATATGCAAATGTCACTAAGTTAAGGAGATACTTTCTAGCTACTCTAAGGATCCCTGGTGGCCCAGAGGTTCAGTGTTGGGCTGCTAACAGAAAGGTTGGTGGTTAGAACTCAACAGCTGCTCCAAGGGAGAAAGATGTGGCAGTCTGCTTCTATAAAGATTGTTGTTTGTTGTTAGGTGGCATTGAGTCAGTTCTGACTCATAGCAACCCTGTGCGCAACAGAACAAAACACTGCCTGGTGTTTCCTGCACCATCCTCACAATTGTTGTTATGCTTGAGCCCATTGTTGCAGCCAGTATCAATCCATCTCGTTGAGGGTCTTCCTCTTTTTCACTGACCCTCTACCAAGCATGATGTCCTTCTCCACGGACCGGTTCCTCCTGATAACAAATCCAAAGTACGTGAGATGAAGTCTCATCATCCTTACTTCTAAGGCGCATTCTGGCCGTACTACTTCCAAGACAGATTTGTTCATTCTTCTGACATTCCGTGGTATATTCACTATTCTTTGCCAACACCTTGGAAACCCTATGGAGCATTTTTACTCTGTCCTATAGGGTGGCTGTGAGTCAGAATTGACTCAACGGCATCAGGTACTTTGTTTGCATTGATATCTTTTTTCTTCTTTTTTAATGTTACAAAAATATAGGTGCACTGATATCTCTTAAGCATAGTATGTTACACCTCAACAAAGCAGATCTCATAAGCATAATGCATACAGATGCTGTATATGAACCTGTACCAATATTTTTATCTTGTACTCCCCTAACATAGTATGACAACTCAGCTCAGCTTCTTCTCCATATGTTATGGGTTTTATTTTTTTTCTTTTTGTCTGTGTAATAAAAAACCTGCCAAGGACTTGATAGATAATATCACTAAAAACTTCACATTATTCTTAATTGCCTTGATCAGTAGTATTGTAATTGCATCTAAGATTTTATGACTTCTTATAGTAGATATTAATTTGAGTAAGCCAATACTACAATTTGTTGATGAGAGGGCTAAAAGCAAGTTTTGAGCTATTTCCAATGGACCAGTGGTTCTTAAGCGTTTTTGAGGTGATAAAAGCTGTGGTCATACTTCTTGGAAAAATATGCATTGACATAGTCACACAACGTTCTGTATTTAGTTTCATTTGGTTTGAAGTTTTCTTGAAAGCAATCTTATTTTGTATGGAACCTAGGTTAAGGGCTCTATAGACACTTTGTGCCAGGAGATGTTTTCCTTTTTGAATATAGTTGTTTAAAGAAAAGAGAAAGGGGTTTGGAGAAGAGAGGTGCTGAAGGGAAGGATGAATGGCTACATTTTTATTCCACCTTCAGAGTAATATATGTGTAATTAATTACAGTAAATACTTCAGCAAGTTTTGTGCTTCGTAATTCATAATGAAGAAGCATGATGGCAAGAGAATGTCTTCTAAGTCTTATCTCATCTTTGGGTATATGATATTTTGTAATAGAGAAATTACTGTATCTAAGTGAACCAGAAAAACCTCACCTGTACATTTTTCTGGTCACTAGCTTTGCCCTTTTATCTTTCTCCTTTTGAAGCCACTCAAAAATTTTCTTTGATAGCTGCAACTGAAGTTTTCCATTCATATATATAGTAGGTATTTGTTGGTCATTTGCTTGCTTTAAGAAGCTAATATGAGATCCTTCAGCAACTTTTACTGAAGTTTCATTTGACTTGTTGGGAACTTAAAAATAAATTTTATGACTTTTGATTTTTTATGTATTTAAAAATGGTACATACTCATTTAGAAAACAAAGGTAAATTAACCGAAATAAAAATCACCACTATTTCCACTAATCAGAGAGAACCACTGTTAATATTATTTTTGTTATGATATCTGTTTTTGGGTCTTTTATATTTATATATGCATATGCATTACATCTTTATTGTGTATGTATATGTGTAGAATATATATATGTATGTATATATTTTAGCAAACAAAAATGGGATTACATTTGGAAATTTGAAAGCTTCCTGGGTAACAATATCTGAGGAAGGAAAAGGCTTGACAAAACATAGAAGTTGGGCAGACTGAGTTTTATTAAGTGCATAGAAGGTCAATGAGAAAGGCAAAATAAGTTATACCAAGAAACAGGTTGAGTATTAATTGATCAGTAAAAGTATTATTGGGTCATATTCTATGTAGGGGCAATATTCTTAATTAGATATTTATTTGGGAGATAATTGGGAGAAGGAAAGGCTTTTGGAAGGCTTGGTTATTTTTATATGTTCAGATTAGGTTTTAAGTAGGAAGGATGAATTATAGTTTTGATGTTCAGGCCTTGTATTTTCTTTAGCGTATCTACAACAGCGACGGTAAATAGATTTTCCCTTATGGTCCACCTTTGGTCAACTGATAGCAGCTCCTTTGTTGAGAAGGATTCTAAGACATACTCAGGGCTTGGGAAAAGTGCTCTGCTTTATCAGTGTCTGCACAGGCATCAGAGTGGGCAGTTGCAACATGCATGCCATACATATGCTACCCTGAAGCCTATCTGTGCTAACTCTTACATATACAAAAGTTAAGACTACATCTTTCTCAGCTGGCTATGATTTCCGAGAAATTTCTTCATGGGATATGTCTGTATTACTTAACGGAGTTCTTGAATTCTACTTAAGTCTAGACTTTTCAAGGAGATTTTGGGTTCTGGCATCCGTACAGTGGACTTTCCTATTTGGGGTACAGGCTGTCAAAGCATTACAGAAATGATTACTAGTGAATATAGAGCAGAATATTGAAGTGATGGGAAGTTAAGAAAGCAAATCTACAGAGGTGGTACTGTTTTGTTAGCTTCAATTTATACTCTGCAATTTTGGAGAGATGCTATATAAATTTACAACATTTCCTTTCTAGGATGGAGAAGTATCAACCATGAAAAATTAGGTAATTTTCTCCCCATTGCCTATATTGTTTTCAAAGGCTTTATTCTGACAGTTCATGTATTTTTCGCATTTGTAATAGAACCTGTGAAGTTAGAGCGTACTCAAGACACAACCACACGTATCACGGAGATTCTTCTTTCACTATTGTATGAAAAAGCAGAAAATGAATGTTGTATTAGTAAGACGTCTCTGCCATAAGCATAAGATGTAATTTTTAGTTACAAGACAGTATATAGTTAAAAAGTTATACCTTGCGTTATTTATGGGCCATCAGCATAGCTTTTCTCTTCCCCCTTTACAGGTTGATGAGAAGGCTCTGAAGCACATAACAGAAATGGGCTTCAGTAAGGAAGCATCGAGGCAAGCTCTTATGGATAATGGCAACAACTTAGAAGCTGCATTGAATGTACTTCTTAATAGCAATAAACAGAAACCTGTTACGGGTCCACCTCTGAGAGGTATCATATATTAACCAGTGTGTCAGTATTGTTTGCTTTTCAGAGGAATATATTTTATAGACAGATGTTGGAAGTTATTGCTGCGAGGGCTATTACTTTGTTTAACATTGTATTAAGTGAAAGAAGCACCCATTTTGGAACTGAAAAGACCTTTGCAAGTTACTCTGAGTCTCATTGTCTTCACCTTTATATAAAGTGGCTGTAACATGACTTAATTCACAGAGTTGTTGTGAGGATTTGAGAAAATATAAACTACCTAGTTCTGTTAATTATTTCTAAAAGTATGCCAGCTATATACATAACTTATACTTAGTGTCTGTCATTCTTTAATCATTGCTTGGTCAAATGTGTTATGTGGTTGTTTTAAGTCCCGATCTCATATTTCCTTTAAAACAATCAGTAGTTACAGAAAATGTTTGTTAAAGATGAATGCTTTTTTTCCCTTAAAAACCAATTTACATGAACAAATTCAACTTTCTGGATAGATCACTTAGAAGATTAAAGGTGCTATAATATAATCATTTAGAAACATTTTTATTATAAAAGATGTAGAATATACAAAAAAATCTGAAAATATATATATGTATAAAATCCTACTTAAGACGACTGCTGAGTATGTGTTAGTGTATTTTCTCCTTTGTTCTTGCATATACAACATATATGTCTTTTAAATCTTAAGGTAAAGGAAAAGGCAGGGGGCGAATAAGATCTGAAGATGAAGAAGACCTGGGAAGTGCAAGGCCATCAGCACCGAGCACATTATTTGATTTCTTAGAGTCTAAAATGGGAACTTTGAATGTGGAAGGTAGGTTAACTTAAAGGAATTGTTTTTTTTAAGATCAAACATTATTTGGAATTACTCAAAAAAGGTTTAATAAAGCCACTGATAATGTGAACCCGCATTCTGGGTGTTTGTTTATAAACATATTCAATTATAAATTTATTGCACAAAAACACAGAAGAAAATTTTAGTGGTTACATTCTGAAAATACTAATGACAGTTTATCTTGTTCCCTGCCTATATGATGGATAATGTCACCAAACTATTTCCCCCAACTTCACTCTTATCCAGATTATAGACTATCTATGAAACCAGATTATTATATTTGAATATTTATTATTATATTAGATATATTAAAAGTTATATAACTTATTTTGAATATAAAGGTCTTATCTCTTCTTTCTTAACATATCACATATTGCACGGAAGTAGTCACATAGTGAGTGGATATGTTGCCATAACGTGATATATTTCTTCTTGGTATGATAGGATACTGAAAAGAGAAATAATTGTGTTAAACATATGTCTTTTTTTCTAAGCAGTAAAAAAATCAAAAACCAAACCATTGCCATCGAGTTGATTCTGACTCATAGTGACCCTATAGGACAGAGTAAAACTGCCCCATATAGTTTCCAAGGAGCGCCTGGTAGATTCGAACTTTAAACCACTGCACCACCAGGGATAAAATATGGTAAATATTTCCTAAAATAGCAAATTATTTTTTTATGTGATTTCACAAGATTAGGCAAATATACTTTTACATTCAGTTTTCTCTTTCAGATAGATTTTGAATCAAACCAAATACATTGAGAGATAAAATGGTTTTATAACAAATTTGAGGTGTCCAGAGTTCATGAAAATTGAAGCTTGTTTTGTAGATTATATAAAAAGCCAGCGTATTGTTTCAGAAAGCATGTTTGAGGTAGATGAGATTTATAAGCAGTAACATGAAGATCGATATTTTCCTGATTGTAAAACATGATGTATTACTTTGCTATTGCTGTGTAACAAATTATCACAAGTTTAGTGGCTTAAAACAGTGAAGATTTATCATCTCATATTTTCTGTGGGTTAGGAGTTTAGTTGGGTCTTCTGCCCTGAGACTAAACGGCGAAATCAAGGCTTCAGTTGGGGCTGTGATCTCACCTGAGGCTCCAGGGCCTCTTTCAAGCCCACTGGTTGTTGGCAGAATTCAGTTTCTTCTGGTCATAGGGCTGAATTCCCTGTTTTCTTGTTGTGTGTTACCTAGAGATCGCTCTTAGCTCCTAGAGGTTACCTTCAAGTCTTTGCCACACAGTCTTCTCCACAGGCAGTTCACAACATCTTTAAGGTCAGCACGATAGTTTCTGCTGCTTCTTCAAATCTGTGACTCTTCCTGACTCTGAACATTAGACCCTCTTCTAAGGGCTCAGCTGAAAAGATCATGCCTATCCTGCAAAATCTCCCTTTTGATTATCTTAAAGCCTTAATTATATATGCATAACTCTTTTACCTTTGCCGTGTAACATAGCCTGATCATGAGAGTGAAGTCCCATCATAGCCACAGATCTTGCCCACCCTTACAAAATGGGGATTATACAGGGCCGTGTATACCAGTAAGTGGGAATCTTGGGAACCATCTTAGAATTCTGCCTACCATGCATGAAAACACGCTTCTGTGTCTCGCATCTGCTAAACCAGTCTTTGAATTCAATGGAACATCTCCTTTGTATATTCGTGTATCCTTTGTTTTCCAGTACATCCCTTAGTCTAGTAACAAGTTTCTGAAATTGTTGATTTGTGTGTTTTAATTTTAATTTGTGTCACCATCTTACTAGAAAAATGACAAAATTAAGGGATGCACCTAACTTTTAAAAGCTTGGTTTCTTATGGGATCTCTTTTTGTACATTCCTCACCCCACCTCCTGCCATCCTCCTTTTCGCTCCTCAATGATCTTAAAATTACCCGTCATAGTGATTAGACACCTTACCGTTTATTCTCCATTCACCATGGGTTTCCTAATGGCTTCTCATTCACTTATTTATTCATTTAACAAGTGTTTATTGACTCTTTTATGGAGCCCTGGTGGCACAGTGGTTAAGAGCTCAGCTCGGCAATTTGAATCCACCAGCTGCTCCTTGGAAACCCTATGGGACAGTTCTACTCTGTACCATAGGGTTGCTATGAGTTGGAATCCACTCGATGGCAGCAGGTTTATATGTGACAGGTGCTGTGCTGGACATTGGGTTTACAATATTGACTGATATAGACATGCATCCTACCCTCATAGGACTTATCTGTAAAAGGGACAGATGGCTTATATCAAACATGACAGTACTTGAATAAAATTACTTGAATACAACGATAACTTCTAAAATCTTTTCTTCTGGGCCTCTTGATATTCCTGTCACAACCACCCCTTGTACTATCCTGCTCAGAACTCCTTTCATTTCCTTTATCCTCTTGTCCTCCTGCATTTGCTTTAGACTGCTGTAGTGTGTCCTAAATCATAATGAAGTGGAAATGAGAATAGGAACTTTACTATGGCCTATGTGCCTACGATGCTTCAGTTCTCACAAGATGTGTCATATACCAACAGGATAAAGTAATATTAGCGTTATACTTGGAAAAAGGTATCAAAGTTAATTATGTGAATATGAGTAACCTGTGGCTGTGAAGTCAATTCCGACTCATAGCCCTACGTGTGTCAGAGTAGAGCTATGCTCCATAGGGTTTCAATGGCTGATTTTTCAGAAATAGATCACCAGACATTTCTTCTTAGGCACCTCTGGGTGAGCTCAAACCTCCAACCTTTTGGTTAACAGCTCAGCACATTAACCAAGTGTGTGAATACTACATTCAAAACCTAACATCATTGTTAGATTTACTTCTGAGGGACAGAAAATTGGAATACATTTGTAAATACAGAATATTGTGTTAATAGAATGTCTTCTCAAGCTGCCCTTTGAAATCTTCTGTTTAGGTCTTTTATTTCATTGTTTCTTCTGTTTGCTTTGACTACTCTATGTTTAAGAGCAAGTTTCAGAGCTGCTTCTGACATCCATTTTGGTCTTTCTTGTTTTTTTCTTCATGTGGATGTCCTTGATGTCATCTCACAACTCGTCTGGCCTTCGTTTATTAGTGTTCAGTGCGTCAAATCTAGAGATGGTCTCTAAATTCAGGTGGGATATACTCAAGGTCGTACTTTGGCTCTCATGGACTTGTTTTAATTTTCTTCAGCTTCAACTTGAACTTGCATATGAACCATTTATAATATGTTCCGCAGTCAGCCCCTGGCCTTGTTCTGACTGATGATATTGAGCTTCTCCATCATCTCTTTCCACAAGTGTAGTTGACTTGATTTGCATATTTCATCTGGTGAGGTCCACGTGTATAGTTGCCATTTATGTTGCTGAAAAAAGGTATTTTCAATGAATAAGTCGTTGGTCTCGAAAAATTCTGCCGTGAGATATCCAGCATCATTTCTCTGTCACCAAGGCCATATATCCCAACAACTAATCCTTTTTCTTTTTTTCCGACTTTTGCATTCCAATCACCAGTAATTATCAATGTATCTTGATTGCATGTTTGATCAATTTCAGACTACGGAAGTTGGTAAAAATCTTCAATTTCTTCATCTTTGGCATTAGTGGTTGGTGCATAAATCTGAAAAATAGTCTTACTAACTGGTTAATATCCATATTCCTACAAGGAAGACCATACTATAAAGTACTTTCAGGAAAGAATAAACATTTTGCTTCTCTGAGATTAATGGCTACCAAGTATGGCAGAAAATTCTAATGTAAGTTGAAAGGGAGGTTAATTTCTACTGTATGTTAATCACAGGAACATGTAACTCTGAATTTGGGGAAAATTTAAGAGCCTGTACAAATATTTACAATTTCTTGAATTCATAAATTTATAAAGGTCATAGGTTATATTCCTTGTTTGTCACCAGTGCCTTCATCGCAGCTTGGGCTTCTTCCTTCAGTACCATCGCTTACTAATATGGATTAAGATTTTCAACCTAGGAAACCCCATGGGACAGTTCTCCTCTGTCCTGTAGGGTCACTATGAGTCAGAATTGACTCAACTGGTACACAGCAACAACAGTTGGATGTCTTGTAGGGAATTATTCATAAATGTAGGATTTTATTTTGTATTTATGTGTACCAGGTCGTGTGGCAGTATTAGGGATACAAGATACAGCAAAATCCTTCATTCTCAAAATTCAAGACAATAGATGGATATTGTAGCTATCACCCCAAAGAAGCTTACTGTTTAGTTTGTGAGAGAGAACACACCACAAATTAAAGGGACATAGGAATTATATTAAAAAAGATTTTATCATTTACTTGGTGTAAACCGAAACAGTGCTGCACAACAAAATATAAGGGCTTAGAAGAAGCTATTAGGAATATAGTGATAAGACATGATTTGGCATTATTGTAATTTATAATAATATTAAGTCTTTTGTTTCCAAGTTTTGTTCCAAAATAAGACCAACCAGTTGTTTTCAATGGCTAGGATATGCTTCAATCAGACAGACTTGAAAACACTGCTTGATTTGCTATTTCACTGTTGTAAATTTTTGTCTGACTAGAAGTTGATTGGGTCATTGGCAACTTTTCTAATCCTAAAACTTTCTGTTTGATGATGTTGACATCATTTTTGATGATGATAATATACATGGCCACAAATGTCTAAACAATAAATTGATATGTGTACATGTGTAGACAGAAGGTCCCTGAGTGTTACAAATGGTTTGTGGGCAACTTCTAACCTAAAGGTTGGCAGTTTGAAACCACTCAGCAGTGTCGTTGAAGAAAGATCTCGTGATCTGCTTCTGTAAAGATTATAGCCAAGAAAACCCTATGGAGTATTTCTATAACACAAGGGGTCCCCATGAGTTGGAATCGACTCGGCAACCATTTTTTAAATTTTGTCTTGTTTTACATAGAAGATTATTGTGCTTGTGGATGTTTTTTGTGTTCTTGTGGTTAATCCTCATGGGTTCAGTATTCTTAGGTGAACTGGGTTAATA